GTTAAGTGTTTTGCTAACGGCCTTTCCTACCTACCTCCTAGTCACCCTCGCTTCGATCCCTTTGAAGTAAACTTGGAAGAGGAGAAAACATCGAGGCTCCAGCATTTGCCAGCTAAAGAAATATTTTTGAGCACGCTAGTCCAATGAATTTTTTGGGTAATCTACAAAATAGGAACACGTGGCACATGGTTAATGGACCACAACTTCAGAGGGGTTAGTTGGTATTCTACAGGAAGGTACACTACGTCCTTTGAAATTGAGAATAGGCCGAGTAAAGGAATTTTGTTCCTAGAAAGGAAAACGTTGTTTGAGTAGCTTATGTGTGTGTTTACAGGGAAAAAAGTTACGCACCTTGTCAATACCTCAATCATTGTGTGGAAATTTACTTATTGATATTCATTTGCCTTCTAACGTGTAAGTAACTTACATCTTTTTCTTTCTTTTGTGTGCTTACATGCTGACATGTAATTTAAATAATGCTGCATACTATTAGCGATGATTAAATGTTATTTAATTTTTATCGTAATAGACGTCTGTAAACATTATGTGTAGTACCCTTTGCTGATCTTTAACTGAACAACAACCGGCACTGTATACCCCATCGATGTAGCTTCTGAGTTTTTCAATTTACAGTTATAGTCCTACGTTGCATTTGAAAACTTAAAAATTGCACTATCTGGAGCTCTAATTTTGAAGTACCCACAGTTCAACGAGCCCTTCATCGTTGTGCCGCCGTTGGTAATATGGGACTTGATGGTATGTCATCCTAAGTCCAAGACGGAAAGGAAAGGTCATCGGGCACTTTAGTAAAACACTCCACAAGCAGGAAAGTAACTACTGTCACCCGTTGAGAACTACTGGCTGTGATTAATATCAAAAACTTTTGGGTGTTTCATTCCCACCAGCCAGTAATGCTGGTAGGCGGGCAGTCCCTCCGGACTACGCCGGAAGATAGGCCAAAGGCCCTCTTCAGCCTGCTTTCAGGAATCGTGGGAATGGGTGGGTGGTGGTTCGGGTGAGAAAGATGAGACGGACGAAATGAAGACAGAAGAGAATGAAAGATTATCTGTGGAATATTACTGCCTCAGCACTTGCCTAGGTGATCCAAGGAAACCACAGAAAAACTTGGACCAAAGCAGGCGGACCGGAATTGAACCGGCGTCCTCCCGAATGCTAAGCAATGGTCTAAACCTCTAGGCCACGCCGCTCGGTTGATGATTAAAATCGTCAAACATATCCTTAAATACCTGTACGGATAGAACTTTTAAGAACGGGCCACGCCTCGCTAAACTGGTTACTGCAATTCAAGAACACGAAAGGAGAGATTAACGGTGGTTACGATGACTACAGGAATACGAGTCCGATATCGAGCACGATAACATTTTAGCCTTTCGTGGAAAACTGCAAATATTGTTCATCTGTGGAGAAAAGCAACTGGCATCAATCTGTTGTAATCTAACCAATCCGTTTAAGGGATCCTGGGAAGATAATGAAGTAATCAACAACGTATTGGACTTACTGAATATCCTCTTGCCTTACATCGCGATATTTTTTTTAGAAACCAGAAACAATAACATGTACTAAATTTAATATAGCAGAGAAGGATAAAATTAGATCTGGTATATCCAACTAGGAGGCATTGCCTTTTTGTCGATCCAGTATAATTTATACAACTTACAAAACATAAAAGAACTCATAAACTAATGTCAATTGATAGGATTTACTTACACTTTGTTTGTATTAATAATATTTACAAATGAGGATTGAGATTTATAGAGATCTTTTTCTTATACGATATAAAACTAAGACTATTATCTATTTGCATATACTTTTGCATAGAATTTTTCTTTTACTTGCTGTCGTTATATTGCTTATATTTAGATCTTTTGGGAGTAAATTGAAATAACTATAGCTTTGAAGTCAATTCTTTTCCTTCGTGTTTCTAGTTGTGATTATATTTTCATATTTAGTGGCGCTTTGCGATCTAACATATTTGTCCCTTAATTTTTCAAAATGTAGCATTATTACTTGCACAATGTAATAGAGGTCTGTCAATTGGAGTTATTACTAAAAATAATCTTTATAAAAAATAGACCGTTTTCAATATACTAATATTTAGTATTTTTTTTTAATTTGTGCAAGTAAAAATTTACCTATATATAAATTACAGTATTATTAGTTGGTTCCTCCGTTTTAAATTATTGCCTATATAAATACCTAAGTATTCAACTATATTTAGGTGCTCTATTATGCCTGCATTATCAACTTTAATTATTAGATCAGGTGGGGTATTATTTATCTGCATTTTAAATATCTTGCAAACCGTTTTTTCAGCACTATTTTGCTATTGCATTTTGCTAATTACTAAGTGTAACCAATACTTGTTCCTACGTATTACCGCATACACTAAACCTGTGTCATCAGCGAATGCAATTGTATTATCATATGATATTAATTCAAAAAGTTCATTGATATATAAGAATACTAGTGGTCCAACAAATAGCTCCTTGTGGGACTTCGTATTTTATTGGTATCACTAGATACCCCACCATTGGCCTTTGTTGCTTAGAAAATTTTTCACTAATTTAAATGGAACATCCCTTAATTTATATCTGTTCAGTTTATTCAAGAGGATGTAATCGACCGTATCAAAAGCCTTTCTAAGATCTATAAAAATAGCTACTGTTAGACAGATGCCACCTAAATTTTTATATACAAAATCAATTAATCTAGCTATTGCATAGGAAGTTAAAATTTGCACCTGATGCCACACTGATTTTTATGGAGAATATTATTTTGTTTATAAAAATGTAGCGTTTTATAAAGACTTTTTTCGACTATTTGGCGAAATTCGATCATCTATATAGGCCTGTAGTTGTTAGAATTGGCATTATAACATTCAGAATCTTACAATAATCTGTGCAGATGCCTGTAGCAACAGTTAAGTTTATAATGTTTACTAGTGGTATAGTCTTATGTCTACATACTTCATGTTTATCATTATATGTTAATTTTTTACTTGTAAGACGTGATATGGTGATGAGGTGGTAATACGTGTTTATTTATGAAATAGTGGAAAGGGATGAGTGCGTTCAGATCATGCAGAGACGGTGGTGAACATCGGCTACATCAAAGGATCGAGTGAGTACCGTAGTACTGGTTTCATTCGAAGATGCTGCAAATTGAAATTGTTGCTAACGAAGAAAAGTTACTTCGTTATACTTAACTTGAGTTGAAAGAGGTGGAGTGTTCCAAGTTGGAGACCGTGTATAAAATAACATGATTGCTCTCGTGTTGCCAGCCATTGATTTTATTTACCTGACATACATATAAACAACTTTGCGTTACCTTTAAACCTCTACATTATAGTAATTAAGTCGATTTTGCCTAGTGTTCTTTTTTGTTAATTCAGTTATCTATTAAATTTATTAAAAAATATCTTATTACCGAGCCCCCAGTTATTTTTGTAAAACGACGACCCCACACAACAACATACAAGTTGACGATTTACTACAGCAGCAATTTGTTTAGCTATTATTTTTAGTGTTCTCACCCCGCCATTTTTATTTTTTAACAAATTCTTATTATTATTTATTTATTGCAAATACTCTAGGGAAGGTACACAAGCGATTTTATTGGGTACGAAGTAGAAACGAAATGGAAGAGTAATAGAAGGAATGCCCGACATGCGCCACTAAAAAGGACCCAAGACTAGAAATCATGAACGAATACAGCAGTTGAAAGAATCGGTCGACGTAGTAGGACCATACACAATGACAGATATCAAGACGGAAGAGGTGTTTCCCGAAACAGAACAAGCTTGGGATCGTCCATACACCGCTACTCGATGCATTAACAATGTTGTCTATCGAATTCACAAGTTTTAGGAGGTGATAGTGCTTCATGTAGGAAACCCTCTTTATGTCAAGAAGTCTGTAGTGGGTGGCCTAGATTTCGTTAGTAACAAAGATTAGATTTTTTAAGTCTCACGCTCTGGAATCCTTCTAGAACAAGTCCAGCTCCTATGAATAGTTACCACGAGATTGGAAGAGTTAAATCAGTTTTAGGACAGTGTCATGCAAACAAGTCATCATACCCGAAGAAGCGTCAGGTGGCCTTTAGTGAATTGCCGAACTTGGGCTAGTAACAAAGAAGTATCTAGAATCTACATTCTGGAATCTCTCTAGAACAAGTCATGCTTCTACTTACAAGATAATAAGAGGCGAAGTAAGAGCGAAGAAGTAATTCAGTGGATGATAGAGTAATGCGCGAAAATAAAATAGTCAGAGTGCTACAATGAACACCAAATTTCAAAACTGGACTGGATGAAAACAAATAAAAATAACAAGAAATATTTTTTAGGTATTCGCAATGTAGCACAAACACCATACATATATGACCAGTGTGTTGGTTTTTGAGTATACAAAAGTTAATTTGAAAGAATATTGTCATGAAAAGGTAGAACAATAAATATTTTTGAGGAAATAAAATAGATGGTTCGATCTTTTTAACTATTCCTGTTCCTTTAATTTCCTATATTAACAATGTAAACATCATTTAAGAATATAGAAACAAAATTTTTAACGTTTTTTAGTTTATTTACAAAACTTGACGTTAGTGTGTAATCAAACTCCACACAGGAATAATTGAAGTTTTCTGTAAAGTCAAAAAATGTCTGTAATAATAGAAAGAGTTCACTACTGTTAAAAATAAATTAAGAAGGCCGTTTTGTCAAGAAAAAGACACTATGCAAACAGCTTCTAAACCATTAATATTGATCAAAATAACATAATCACTTTTTAACATTATCGTTTTCAGTAAGACTTTTTAGAGAAAAATAATTAAAAATTATGCAAATGTCAAAAACTGAACACATATACGATTTGGTTAAAGCACAATATACAAGTTGCTATAACTGCCAAAAACTAATTTAAAGGTGTGAATCAATATGATTGATATATTAAACCGTAAAAAATAAGGCCAAAAAACAAAGAAGAAAATGACAAAGCTATAAACTTTAATTGGAATAGTTTAATAAATTTACGTTTTAAATAATAATAATAATAGCCCTGAATGAGGCGAGACTCCTTGTAATATCATCATCTGAAGGCAAGAAGTGCCCGTTTCTGTTTCTTTTTTTTTTTTCAACTAAAACAGTCTTATTCCAACCTGCATAATAGTAATAAACTTTAAGTCCCTAAAAAAAGAGCTCAAGCCACATAAGTGTACTCTTTCCTGTTTTCTGGCGTCCTGGCTAGATACTCGCGCTCAATCAGACCCTCTATCCTTTTCTTAATGATGACCGGTGACGGTAGAAATCTGCTCTTTAATTGTTCAGTCACTTCGGTTACCAGTAAATTATGAGCCATTCGTTTTCTTGATTTCATAATACGAACGATTGCTGCTTCTATCTCGTGTTTCCGATCTTCATCTACTTTATTTCTAGTCTCCCTGCGCTCAGGTTCACTTTCGCCTTTCGCTGCTACAGTCTGTATTTTGACCCGATGGAGTTTCGACGTAAACGAGTCATTTACGAAGAATTCATTAGATGACTCAATGTCTTTCGTTTTGGGATTCTTAATAAGTATACGTTGACTTGCCTTGCCCATAGCCAACGATTGTAATGCTCGTATTAGATCCCTTTCTGGAATATCGGTCTCATTCTGTATTTCTTCATACGTTAACTTTTCGTGATTGTTGAATAACATTAATATAACCATTTGATAAGTAGAAACTTGTATTATATGTTTCCGAGGTCCAGATCTATTCGACAACAAACTAGTCGACGAGGAACAAGCTCCGTCTTTGTCACAGTCTTCTCTTTTCGGACCGTAGAAAACAGCATTTAAATCTGCATTACCCAACTGAGGTTGGAGGGTGAGTTGTCTACCGCTATGCTTTCCTAAATAGAATCTGTAACAATAAACCAATAAAGTATCTTATCTCTTCAATAAACGCATGCAGTAGAATCACGATTGTGTCAACTGATAAAAACAACAGTTGTTGATTTTATTGGAATGTACCTACACGTTGACGAAAGTTATATTTAGTATACAATAAGCATCTAGTT